CTGTAAATGATGAGGTTTTAACTACTTTCAAAATTACAATGTTGTAAAAAAAGGCATTCAAACCAGTAATAGTTTCACAAGTACTGGTTCAGCATCCTCATGTTTACATGTCAGACATTGGTGTCGAGAAATGGCCCAGAGCATATAAAGCTTTGCCTGTACTAACATGATCTGTGAGAGAGACATATAGTACTGTTTTATACAAACACTTATGTGATGGCGAGTACTTAAAACTTGAGGATAAATATATTTATAGATAAAAAAAAAATATTATGGAACTCAGGTGTACAATCAAAGACAAAAGTCGTGTCGCAGTTTTGTCTGAAGGTTAAATATAACTCGTGAAACATTAAGAGAGCCCCCTACCACAAGGCAGAGCGCACAAAAAGTTTAGCCCTTCGGCATATGTTTTCACCAAATTTCAATACACGACTTTTGTCTTTCATTGTACACACCAATACCCAGTGCTTTACCACTGCAAATATTCTTTGTGGCTTTTCAATACTAAAACCAAAGCAGTCTGTTATTGTTAATGAAAATGATTTTACATGATAAAAGAATTTCATTTTGGGAACATTCTCCTTTTGTAAAATAATAAAACTCAATTACACAAGGAGATTGTTATAAGGAGACACTTTTCAGATTCATCTTGCCTGTACAGTACTTCCCGGCTGAATTAAAGAAAAAAAATTATATATATATTTTTTTTAAAGAAATAATACAAAATAACAAAACCAAAGAATACACTCACGTTAATAATTTATGAAAATTATAAACTTAGTTGTGAAAAGTTAAAAGAGTCCCCTTTAACAAAATAATAATTGTGACATGGTTTCAAATACAACTGCACAGTATCATTTGCTTCCTACTGAGGCTGGGATATTTGTGATGTATTTTGTTGCTATTGTAAGATCACAGCTCAAGGTTAAAGAAGCCACAAGCCCAGAAAACTGTGAGGGCAAATTTTTTCAGTGAGAGTTGTGAACTCTTGGAACAATCTGTCAGAGAGTTTTGTGACAGGACCGAGTGTGAGCTCATTCAAGGCCAGACTTAACCAACACTGGTTCAGGTTCTGATATATTCAGGAGCCAGTGCATGCCCAGTATCTGCCAACAGTGCGTATCAGAGTTGTGACCGACCGCCCAAGAAGCAGAGCCAATCAGTGGCGAAGAGGATAAAAGTAAAAGTGTTGGGGTGGTCAGTTACATACAGTATGCATATGTGAAAAATTCTATATGGTAAGAAACAATATAAAAGACAGAAATACATATAACAAAGATGTGATGATGAATTACACATAGGGTAGGGACAGAAAATGTGGCTGGGGGTACACAAGGTTCCTTTGGGATATGGGGAATGGGGGTGGAGGGGCAAACCCTTCTGAAACTGTCTTAAAACTCATTTGATAGCTTTCTGGAGACTTCAGATGAAATAATAAAATTTTAGTAAAATAGTACATTACTGTAGAAGACGACTCCAAATTTGAGAAATCTGCATTTTTGCAGAAAGGTCATGTCCCTCACAGAAGTGCATTTACTCTTAAAGTATGCTGTCTGTCTACAAGGATTATTTATCATTACTGTTGTGACATAACCAGTAACACAATACAAATCCTTATCTTATTCCCAGTAAGGGACTAAACTTACTATCCCAATGTGAGAGTAGCATTTACCATTGTCACAGCTTTATATTTACTCAAAAACATTACATACACTCATTAAGTACACTCTCATTGTAAAAGTTTACACACAAATAATTTTGATGTTATCATTCAATAAATATGAGAATTGTATGGAATGGTGATAATTTTTTTTTAGAGATGAAATGCCATACGAAGAACATTATATTATATCTATATATACATTTGAAAGAAACTTTTCATAACTTGAAAACTGTCACATGGGAACAATGAGAACTGCTTTCCAGCCACTTTTGCTTCAAGACAGCACCTAAAATGTCTGTACCAGTGATTATTATCCATAAAAACATCAGACAAATTTATCATTAATGCACTAAAAGTAAATAACGGAGTCTCACTACTTTTTTCTCATGAAGCAGCCTTCTAGTCATGATAGATTCTTTATTAATACCTCTTTTCTAGCACATCACAGTTTTCTAAGTTACCTCATACACATTTACATTAAACAATGAATCAGTGCAGTAAAAATGTACAAATATCTCTAGTCCTGGAAAGGTCTGTTTATGCATAATTACAAAAGCAGTTCAGGCTTTAACTTGGAAGATATCTGGTGAATGGATGAGTGTCTCAGATAAAACTCAGCAACCAAGGTTTCTGGTGTATTCCCCCATGCTAGGGCACTAGCAAAAGCCTCATCACCTAGATTTCTGCTTGAGGTACCAATGTCCTCTAGACTAGGCTGTGTACCCTGAAAACTGGGTAATGGCAACCTAAAGCATAAACATAGCACAGTGCAGAGGAACCAAAACAATTCCTCAACTAAAGTTGATATTATTAAGAAAGGATGGTAATATGCAGACATACTGAACACCGGTCTGCCTTTTACTAAAAAATCTGGATCACAAAGCACTGCATCATGCAATGCTGTGATTTATGGGTTTAGAAAATCTCTTTGCGGAAATCAAAGCCATATGTATCACATTTGTAGCGAAGCGTCCGTCCAAGTGCAGGTGGACCACAGTAGAACACGGTTATTTTCCCTTTTTGCTGGTGTTGCAGCTGTTTGAACACCTGGAAAAACAACACAAAATAATGCTGAGGTATAGTTGCGGAAATGTGTTCCTACACCCCCTGTGGTAACCCATGTCTCCAAACGGCAACATCCAAGTAGTAGTATCATTATTTATAAATGAATGAGTATTGGTTGTGTAATGATTGGTGGATATGTTTGCTATAAGTTGGCCATTTGGAGACATGAGTTACCACAAGGGATGTAGTAACACATTTCTGCAACTGTACAAGTACAATACAGTACTGTACATTCTTAGAACAAACATTTCAGATTAAATTCTTTGGTATGTACTTTAGTATCACAGATTATTTTTCTGTCCTCATTAAATATAAACAGAAATCCTTTTAATCTTCAGGTTGCATGAGAAGTCAGTAACGTGATGGAGTTGACAGTGTGACCCCATCTACATAACCTGCTAGGGTCACTTGAAGATGTGTCCTCTTTGAGAACAATGAATTATTCATTGTTCAAAAAGACACCTTCTTCCTCATATTAATGAAGGGGGTAATCTTCTTGCTGACAGGAGGGGAATTGTCACACTGTCCTGACTACAATTCCATTTTTATGACATTAAAGAAGGAAACAATCTTTCATCTCAGTATAAAGAAGACACCCCATCTTCCTCAAGTCAAGGGAGGAAACACTATCTTCTAAATAATCAATTAATTAAAATTTATCCTTGGGATATTTATACTTCCTGTCTTCCTTCTAAATAATTAACCAATTCTTCCCATCTCTTCTCTTTCCTTTGTTCTATGCCAAATTGTCTATGAGTTAAACCTTCTAGACGAGGAAACTGGCCTGCCATTCTAATCCTGGCTATTTCTCTTAACACCCTAACTGGTCTACTAAAAGCATCTGCGACTACATTTGGCTTACCACTCTTATGTTAAATGTGTAATCTCTCATTTACAACATCCATCTGTTCATTCTTTGACACTTAATTTTCTTGTTAAAAACAGATGTTGATGATCAGTCTTAATGGTAAATTGTGAACCCCTACACAAAAATTACTAGCATCACTATGTAACTCAAATGGTTTATCCATGTCTACCTTCACAAGGACTGGGAAGGAAGCTAATGTCTGCTTTAACATTACAAAAGCCTTCTGACATTCATCTGTCCACACAAATGCAGCTTGTTTCTTGGTGAGTTCTGGGATTGGATATGTAATCTCAGCAAAATATGAATCATGCTTACGATAAAATCCGCACATCCCAGAAAATTATTGGACTTGCTTGATTTACTTCCCGTGTAAATATGGCTGGGCTGACTGACAATCCATAAATTATATCCATCACTATTGTTATGGCCAAAAATTACTTGACATTAAGCATCTTTCAAATCTAAGGTGGTATAATATTTGTTTCTGGAAGCCTTCTCTACTAATTCATCCAACCTTGGCAATGGTTGTATATCTACCTTTAAATGTTTGTTGACTGCTCAGAAATCAAGGCATATATGTTTTGACCCATTGGTCTTAGTTACTACAGTAATACTATGGGTGATAGCCAGACGGCTGTTGTGGGTTCAATGATGTCTCTATCTCTCATGTCCCTCATCATTTTCTTAATAATATCCTTGGCCTTCTCTGGGTACCTATATTGAGGTCCTCTCAGTGGATTTTCATTGGCTAATGGGATATTAGCTGGCAAACCCTTAACTGATCCGGCTTCATCTGAACCTAAGACAAACAATGCATCATGATCTAGTACCACCTGTTTTAACTGTTTTTGCATGTCCCGATCCAAGTGTGTCCACTGCTGGGTCCTAATTAACTCCCTCAACTTCTCCTGTCTAGTTTCTCCACGTTTCACTTCATCACACTTTGGTACCATATAATTTAATACATGTTGAACTTGTCTGATTTTCTGGACTGGAAAATTCTCAATACCACTACAAATTAGATATTGAACTGGGGGGTCTCTTATCATCATGAGTCAGCATTATTGGAAATTTGTTAGGTCTCTTTTCACTTTCTCTCTGTATGGCCAGGTGATGTCGTGAACACAGTGGTATTTCTAAAGATGGGTCTACCTTACCTAACTCTTCATAAATGTGCGAGATAGTTCCTAGATTATTCCCTTTATCATCAAAATAACAAAACTCATCATCATTAACCACCTCATATTCACCTAAAACAGCACCAGGACTCAAACAAACTGGCTGCTGTGAAACATTACTCATAGGAACATAAACACAGGAATCATCTTGGACTCCCACACACATATCAGGTTGTTGCTTCAACTACCTGTGCTTAAACCTGATTCTCAAAGTCTGACCTAGCTCCACTTTCACCTTAATTGACCTAATTTGAGAACTGTGACCACTTAGTATAGTCTTCCTATCACTGTGTAGGCTAGTCAGCTACTTGGAAAAAGGTAAAACTTAATCAAACTGTAATCATTTTACCTTGATTACCTTCTGCAAGTGTTATCCATCATCTGGTTTCCAATACACCTGTGAATGACCTTCCCAAACAAACTGATTCTTTCCTTGATGCCAACACTAAATCTTCCTAAGATATCTGCCTAATAGTACATCAGTATCTAACTGGTGGTCTTCAACCACTATGGTTTGGTGACTGATTCTTTTCTTAGGGGATATCTGTACTGGGAGAACAACTGTGCCTTTTGCTGTGAATTCATCCCCGGTAATAGCTAAATATCTTTGGGTACAAGACTTAATGGGTCCCACAATCAATGCTACACAAGTATGCCCACATACAGGTAATTTAATACATGGATAACTATTTTGGGTAGGTTGTCGTTGTCATTTGTTCCGAGGGAGCTGTCTAGCTTGACGTCCTGGAAAAGTTAATTTACACTTTCTACAGTCCATCCTCATGCGCTCCCAACATGAACCTATTTGGGGCTTTAATGGACAATTATATGGGTTATGGTCATCCTTCCTACAATACCCACACCATTCATTCCATGCCCCACCTGAGTGTTAGTTTCATGCCATCTCATGCTCCTATCATTCTTTCTGTCAACCTCTTTCATCCACCTGCCGGCTGATGCCCCAGTACCTCCTTTCACACGGTGATCTTCCTTGACCTTGTAGTCGTCACTTCCTGGCCTTGTTTGTACATTTTCATGGTTGACCTGTCTAACATGATGTTCCCTGCCATGCGTACTCAAATACCAACCTTAAGTTAAGACGTAAGTTAAGTACCCCTAGAATTAAGTGATCACACTAAAGGGCAGTATACCTGTACTTGCCAACAGTGCATAACAGAGACATGAGCGACCACCCAAGCAGCTAATGAGCCGATAAGTGGTGAAGAGGATAAAAGTAAAAGTCTTACCTTATCCCAGTTAGGTCTCCCGGCGTTGGTGCGAGTCTTGAGGCCGGTAATGAGATCCCTCTTCTCCTGTGGATACAAATTTTTTTTGTTATGCTTCACAAATTTCCTTGGACAACAATCATGTTATGAGGGTTGGCAAAGCCCTTTTCTTAAACAGCAAACCCTGAGTGTTACATTAAAGCATTGGAAACATACCTTTTCGTGCAGGAGGTCTAGAGCCAGTTGGAGTCCAACAGCCTTCATGTCAGTCTTCTGAAGAGCAGAAGTGATGTACATGTGCATATCAAGGAACCGCTCCAGCACCCCGCCCTGTTCCGCCTGTTCAATCTCTAGCTGTGACAATAGGTTCACAAACCACTCAAATGATCGCTGGTCTCGGTTGATCCAGAAGAAGTCCACCTGCAAATGTAAAGTTAATATTGTAGGCATTTAGTTCACTAAAGGGGCAGTAAATTTCTTTTTGGGGAAATTATTTTTTAAAAGTAAACCTCCATGAACAGTTTCAGAGCAAATAATTAATGAAGGATAAACAAGAACAGGGTAATGAAAAAGTCACAAAGTTATTGGTAAATTTGCATTTTGTTATGTAACTTCTTACTACCACATGACTGTGATGAAGGTGTGTAAACAATGTAGAGTAATGGTAATACAGAGATTTATAAGGGACTGCACTATGAACTGTAGAATCCCATGAGGTAAGTATGCGAGGGTGTGGTAACATGGTGAAGCTAAGCTCTGTGGTGAGGTAACCATGCACAGTGTTCTAGAACTGGTTTGGATGATTGTTGATACAGTCTGTGAGGCTTTGGCTTTCTGAACTCATTCAGGTTGTGTCCATTTATTTATCATGCTTTAATGAGGTTGACACGACCATGTGTTTTGTGTTGCAATCAGTGGTGAGGTCGCACAGGACTTCTTCCTACCTTGCGAAGGTTCATGACTGCCTGGGGGAGGTCGGAGGTCCAAGAATGGGCACACTTGGGGCAGGTAAGGCGCGCCTTCCAGTACTTGTGCATAATTGATTGCAGGATGGAAGCAAAGGGTGTCACTCCAATCCCTGTTGCAATGAGCACAGCGTGTTGGGCCCGGAAGATGTGGCTTGATGGTGCACCAAATGGCCCATCTATGTAAATCTGAGAAGACAAACAAAATACAATAACAAATAATGCATTGTTCATTGAAATGACAAAAACACACAAGCAACTGACATACTGTACATTACATAAATATAAGACAAAAACATATTTACATAAGTCATGTTAGGTTAGGCTGAAATGGGTTGGGTTAGGTTAGGTTAGGTTTGGTTAGGTTAAGTTAAGTTGGTTGGATTGGATTGGGTTGGGTTGGATTGGATTAGGTTGGGTTGGATTAGGTTAGCTTAGATTATGTTAGGTTGGGTTACGTATGCCACTGTAATGACATTCAGTGACTCCTTTTGTAAATTTGGTCACTATATTTTTGTTTTTTCATTTCCCTACTCTTCTAATATACTCTGCACCACATAAACTAACTACACTAATGTGTTGTACTATTACTGTCACTAGCCACTACCAGGAGACTACAACCAACCACCACGGCCTGATGAAGGGCTACCGGTACTCACCATAAGTGGCTTGCCAACTACACACCCTCCCTCGGCGATCGCCTCCTCCATTCTACTCTTCTTCCTCACTCGCCTCTCCTCTTGCCGTGACTTCCTCCACTGCCTCTCCTCCTGACTGGATCTGTGCCGCACGCGACCCTCCTCTGCTGTCAGGACAGATGAATCTGTTGGTGGATCACAAAACACACTTTGTTGAAAGAGTCTCCATACAGTCTTTGTCAATATAATTTCAGTTCCATTCCTATGTCGAGAGAGAGAGAGAGAGAGAGAGAGAGAGAGAGAGAGAGAGAGATAAAACTGACAAGTAAAGGTTAAATGTCAGTTAAAAAAAATAATAAGTTAAAAAATGGTGGCCAAGGAAATGAATGGCAGGGTAACTGATGAGGGGGATCCACTGGCCTGACTATCTAAGGCATAAGAATGCAAACACTATGCTGAATATCATAGCTAGTAAAATGAACCATTTGATCGATAAATATATACCCAAGACCAAACCCAGTGCCTCTAGGAATACGAGGGGATTCCTACACATGAACCATGAGGTGGGTCGACAAAGTTAAGAAGAAAACCCAGAAAATCGAGACGTGGGTTGGGTCAAACGATGAGCATGACAGGGAGGGTGTATGCAAGAGCCAGAAACCAAGCAAATGCAGAGTGTAAAAGGGCTGAAAAGGAGTTCCAGAGGCTGGTTGCAAGCGAGGTCAAGTCAAACCCAAAGGCGTTTTACCGCTATGCAAAATCGAAATTAAAAAAGCGAGTAGGAGTATCAGACCTGAGGCTTGAAGATGGCAGTTATGCAGATTCTGACCAGGATAAAGCTGAGGCATTGAACAACTTCTTTTGCTCGGTGTTCAAAAGAGAGGAAGCGATTAACCTTCCTGCGTTTGAGAACAGACGGTTCGACACAGCACTGACCCAGCTCTGACATGGTGCATCCCAGAGTGCTAAGAGAGTTGTACAACGAGCTTGCCAAACCCCTGAAGATCCTGTTCTGTAAATGCCTGGATGAACAAAAGGCCCCCAGTGATTGGAAAGTGGTTTATGTGAGTCCTATCTTCAAGAAGGGCAATCGTCACTCCACGGACAGCTATAGACCGGTGAGCCTGACCAGCATAATACAGTATGTAAAGTACTTGAGAGCATTATCAGAGATGCCACGATGGAACATCTACTACGAAACAACCTTGTAAGGGATTGCCAACACGGTTTTATGCAGGGGCGCTCCTGCTTACCACAATTGCTCAAGGTATTGGATGTTTGGACCCATATTCTGGAACGGGGTGGTAATATAGACAATATACTTGTATACTGTACCTAGATTTTGCCAAGCCTTTCGACAGTGTACCCCATGTAAGGGTGAAAATCAAACTGGAAGGGTACAGAATTCGGGGAAAAGTCCTAGCGTCGATAGAAGACTTTCTACATGACCGCAAGCAATGTGTGGTGGTTAATGGCATGAAATCATCATCTGTACCTGTCGCAAGTGGGGTACCACAGGGCAGTGTATTGGGCCCACTCTTGTTTGTTTGTTTCATAAATGACATGCATGGCGCTGTACATTCCTCCATACAAATGTTTGTGGATGACACAAAGTTATTTCAGGAAATCAAGAACCAACTTGACTGTAAAGAGCTGCAGAAGGATTCAATGTCACGAAGTGTAAGAGGATGCACCTGGGACGTAACAACGGTAAGGAGGCGTAGCATATGTCCCAACGGAACGAAGAAACTGCACTATTTGAGACTGAATGTGAGAAGGACCTAAGTGTGTATGTTGACAATGAGCTGAAGTTCTCGGGCCTTTGCGAGAAGAAGGTAAATCAGGCAACTAAATTATTAAGTCTTATAAGAAAGTCGTTCAGATATCTAAACGGTCCGTCCCTGTAACGATCTTTAAGAGTAAAGTGCTTCCCCGTCGGGTCCCCAAGATATACTAGGGACTGTAGAGTTGATTGAAAATGTCCAAAAGATGGCCACCAGACTGGTGCCTGAACTACGGCACCTCGGCTACCCTGAGAGATTGGAGTGCCTTAACTTGCTTAGCTTATACTACAGATGGGTAAGGGAGGACCTAATTGAGGTGTATAAGCATCTCAAAGGGCACTTACTCAGTCAAGTGCCCTTACCTGCAGCTGGCGGATGCTCGTCCCACAAGGGGTCACAGGTTGAAGAAGGTGCAAGCCCAAAAAACTGTGAGGGGTAACATTTTCGGAGTGAGAGTTGTGAACTCTTGGAACAATCTGCCAGAGTATGTTGTGACGGCACCGAGTGTGAGCTCTTTCAAGACCAGACTTGACCAACACTGGAGCGGGTTCAGGTACATTTAGGAGCCAGTGCATGCCCACTACTTGCCAACAGTGCATATCAGAGACGTGATCGATCGCCCAAGCGGCTAACGAGCCGATCAGTGGTGAAGAGGATAAAAGTTAGTAAAAGATTATATGTGACTTACTGCCAGGTACAGACCCTTAATGGCTACACATTATAAAGACTTTGGCTATGATTGGGTGTTTGTTACTCAGTTTGGTTGTCTTACCTTGTGTATCTGTTGAGGGTCTGATCCCACCCTCCTGGATGGTCACCCTCACCTCCCCGCTTTTACACTCTTCTCCCTTCTGTGATAACTCCTCGTCTTCCTCCTCCTCCTCTTCTGTGTAATAGTCCCCGGCCTCGGATGGCAAGTCTAGTGTGATTATTGTTGGTTTCCTTCTCATGTATCTGTTGGAGGGGACTTTCTTGTTAGTACTGAGGTCCTAATTAACAATAACCCTCAGATACATAGCAGAAATTTATAAACATCCGTACACACAAGCAACGAAAAATTGATGCTGCTCTGTTAAAAATATTAAGCTGAGAGCACTAGCTTTCCACTGCTTGTATATTATTAATACAGGAAAAATAACAATAAAAGTACAAACACTTCCAAATGATAACAATCCACAAACCGTATCTGGAATCAACGTGCATTTAACATCACGTCATCTTGCACACAATGTAAATGTACTTATTGATGGATGTCACATTATCCCATGTACACAAAATAAAGACACAATATTTTCACCATGGTCATTAGTTTTCCCGATTACCTGAAGCTCATAGCCACTGGTGGTTTCGAGCGCTGCTGGTAGCTGCTGTTGCCAGTCAAAGCCGCCAACTGGACCTGCTTCATGGTGTTTTCGTCAAACCTTCGCTCTGAGGCTGCCCGGAAGTTGTCCCGCAAACTAAGGTGAGGACAAGTATGTCGCATGAGCAATAGAAAAAAACATAGGCCTACTACAATTGTGCTTATTATTTATACCATATTACCAATTGAATGTTAAATTATAGACAGCATGATCAAAAAATTAATTTTATATCGTGATGACCTGTTCGTAGAAACTTACAGTTTCTTACGACTGTTGTTTTAACTTTGCCACAATTTTTAACCCTTTCACTATACTCTTATGTTTAGCCATGAGACCACAACAAAAACAATATGTCTTACATCAAGTTCTTCTCTCTCTTCTTTATCCTCTTGTTGAGGTCTGGCACTGAACGGGTTTTGACGAGATTCTTCTTGGGCATGGTCGGATCAGTGATGAGGTTGGGTGAAGACCGATTCTTGGAGACTGTGGGTCTAGCCCGGGGGTCAGTAGCCTGTCCTGCTGCCCCGGGGACCTCTTGCACCACACCGTTCCCATTAGAGTCGGGCTCGTAAGCCAGATTGGCAATACCTTTCTTCCTCAGTGACTTTGAACCAGTGGCAGTGTTATCTTCAGGAAGAAACAGAGAATGGCCGTCAACTATCATATGCCATTACAGTACAATTTAGAGCAGGTACCGGAAATTTGCACAAATAAAACAACTGACTTTCATACAAAATAATGTAAGTATGTGAGAGCAAACACCTGTTTTGAAATGTTTTAAGTAACAATAAAAATATTCAATAGAATTATGATCATTAAAGAGATGAAGTCACAAAAAACAAGAACTTGTGATTATACAACTACAAAGAACAATCTAAACACAAGTACAGTATGGTGATTGAACCAGACACTACAAAGTAAGAGTTAGTATGGCATTACCTGTGGCAGTGTCATTGTGGGTGAGGGCCAACATAGGCGTGTGGGACCTGGCGGGCGAAGTGGTGGATGTTGCCGCACGTCCGTCATTGACGACCCTGCACACAAACATTCACTTTATTATTAAGAAAAGACTAAAGTAAAGGTAAACAAATTGGCTGGACATACGACTTTAGATTATGTTCTCCAGTAACACGGGAAAACATTTATTGTACCAGATTCACACAGTACTGAATTAATAAGACAAGTGATTCTTAAATGTCACTGGAGATATTCACAGGCTAATCATATGCAAATTAAAGTTGCTTCAGAATTTCCTACTCAAAGGCTTGAAATTTTGTTTAAATAGCAATATAAGATGTTAGGTAGGATTCAGTCTATTCGCTGTTTATCAGTGCACCTCAACAACTCACATGTTAAGGTTAGTTTCGCTGGCACTGATGAAGGCTGAGGAGTACTCGGAGGTGTGGCCGACCAACTCACACCTCTGCTGGGAGCACTTCTGCTGTTCCAGCTCAAAGTATCCATACAACCTGTTGGTCCACTGTCCCACCGCCCTGATGTGCAGCCACACCACATCTGTATACATGGTGGTGCCATTGATGCAGAGAAACAATTATTTCCTCCCCCCTAAAAAATATACTGTACAGTAAATAAAGTCATCCCTAGGTTATAGCACACTTGGTTATCGCGATTTTCGTTATCACGTCTCCATCAAAATCTGCACACCTGCTGTTAAAGTGCATTTTTCAAGCCGAGAATTTCATTATCACGCAGTTGCCTCCAGGTATTTTTACCCATTTGCTTCACCTACATCTATTGAGGATAAAATCTTTCACCTACAAATTGACAATAACACATTTGCTGTAATCAGACATATCTAAGTTGCCTCAACAATAGCAACTCCAGTTGCAATTTCAAATTCTGTGTCATTACTAAGGAATAAAGAAGTCTCGGGTACACCCTAAGATTGAGAAAAAACGGAGAACTCAAGCGTCCTGAAGCAATGGGAAAACGGACTCCTCAGACGGGGGACTCAAATAAAGAAAGCATAGCTACATGTTTTGTGGACTACAGTATTCAGCGTACCCTTTTCATCACTTTGTAATAAACCTAGTCATGCCTATGTGTTTTTCTGATGCTTACCATAACATTATCTATATATTTAGTGGGTCTAAATCAGTGGTGTCAAACTCAATACCTTTCGAGAGCCAATTCATATTTTAGTTACCCTCTTCAGGACCAACACAAACCCTATATCACATATTTGCAGGATTGAAGTTTACAACTTCACACATTGCCTTACCTGGCTTACCAGAAATACCTGATTTGGGTTTGTGTGATCTTAAATTCATTTTACTAAATAAAAATGATTATATCTATTTCTTTCATAATTTCACGGGATGATGAATTTTACCTTCATGCCGCGGGCCACACCTGACCATCCCAAGGGCCACATTTGGCCCGCGGGCCATGAGTTTGACACCCCTGACATACACCTTACAAAATTTTTGACCAAAATATACTTTTTTTCTCAGAATTAAAATTTAAGGGGTTTAACTAATTAAGTACTTTCAGAATAACACACAAACCCTGAATCACACCTTGGAACCCATAGTTGATGAGTAATTAGCATTGAAAAATGTCAGTAAAATCTTTCAAGGGTCATTTTGGCCACTAATTACTCTGCAATCGAATCGTGGACCACATATTCATAATCAGCAAGTTCAGGAGTACCCATACTGTGATTTTCAGCAAAATCTAATTTTTGGCCCAAAACCACCAAAAAATGTAAGTCTTACACCAGTGGTGTCAAACTCAATACCTTTCGAGGGCCAATTCTTATTTTAGTTACCCTCTTCAGGACCAACACAAGTGCTATATCACATATTTGCAGGATTGAAGTTTACAGCTTCACACATTGCCTTACCTGGCTTACCAGGAATACCTCATTTGGGTTTGTCTGATCTTAAGTACGTAAAATTCATTTTACTAAATAAACATGATAACTGTATATCTATTTTTCATAATTTCATGGGATGATAAATTTTACCATCATCCCGCGGGTCACACCTGACCATCCCAAGGGCCACATTTGGCCCGCGGGCCATGAGTTTGACACCCCTGGTCTAAAAGGTTGTAAAATGGGAAAATTGGGGTTGGGTTTTGGGTGCCTGGAACCAATTAGAAAAAATCCCATAGGTTCTGTACTTTCGTTATCGCGTTTTTCGTTATCACGCACTCGGCGCGTTCCCAATTAGGCGTGATAACCAAGGGATGACTGTACAGTATAGTCTTTATCCTTATGGATGTACAGTAGGTGCTTCTGAACATGCTGACTAAGGTTCTGTGGTTAAAAATTTGATATCTTGGTAATTAATTGTCCTAATGACTCTTGCAAATTCTTAATTAGTTAAGCAATTCTAATTACTAGCTACGCGTGCTTCTTCCATGGCGCTCTAAAGTTATTGTGGATGGACTAAAATAATTATATAAATTTGTTTCCAATTCCGAGAGAAATGCGTTTATCAGTTAAATATTACGAAGCCATAATGCTTAGTGTTGCAGCCGTAATTTTGACGACTGAAATTTTTTTAAGAATCACGATACCTATATATTATATTGTACAGTATTTCAGAACAAACTGATTAAGAATTTATGATTAGAAATTTATATCTTGGTAATTATTTGTCTTAATGACCGTCGGACTACTTTAATTAGTTATGCAATGCTAATTACATTGAACCTATTGTTTTTCTTTGTCACTTTTTGGTGTTCTTGTGTTATTCTGGATGGACTAAAGTACTTAAACACATCAATTTTCAATTCCGAGAGAACAGTATACCAGTACAGTATATAATTATTAAAACAAGTGTAGATTCTGTGGAATATGATTGTTTTTATGTAAGTTCCCCGTGAAGTGAGAAATTTAATACGATTCTTTATTATATAAGACTGTAACAATGTAGTATGAGTACTCACCCTCCTGTTCGGGGGCAGAGGAGACGGTGAAGGGGTGCCACTCATACTTGGCGATCTCTGGGATGTTGATGAAGACGTAGTCGCCTGGGTGGAATTGGAAGTGCAAGGGCCGCTTAATCACCAGGTGGATCACTTTGGACGGCAGAAGCACACCAGAACTACCGAGATGAGAATGTTACTTTAGAACCCTCATGGAAGTGAGCTTTGAACAGTTTTCTTAAACTATCTCTGGATGAACTGACTTACTGTTTACTGTTGTGTGTATGTATTTCCTGTACCATGTCCATGATGAACTAATATAAACATGTATAATGACTTGCTGGATGTTTGGTTTTGTTACACACATTTTAAGTAACTAGTGGCTATGCTTTGTATGTCTTAGAAACTCCGAATGTTATATATTTTTTAAAGTAATTCAAATCAAACTAAACACAGTGTAACATTCAACACACTTTCACTTAAATAAATTAAAAATAAAAGATAGGACAAAGTATGGTTATGAAAGTACAGGATTGGCTGTGACAAAAGTATCTTGGCACAGAGGTTGGTTCAGTCCAAGAGATCCCAATCACAGAGAGAAGTTCAATCTAAGTGGACCGAAAAGATCCTCACCTGATGTAGGTTTTGCCTCGCCCTGTGCGCATTCTGATGGTGCGGTGGATGCGCTCTATGAAAAAGATGATTCCTGGCGCCACGAACCACTTCCAGAAATTGGGACCATGCAAGATAGTCAAGGCCCAGAAGGCGATGTACAGTAGGTGAGTCCAGTAAAACACCTACATGGAGTAAAGTAGGAACGTCAATGTGTTTTGTTTAGTAAATGATCCTTTATCTACATAATTTTTACATATGAAAAAAACAAACACAAATATGTACAAATGATACTAACTAGATCTAAAGGAAGGCTGTCTCCTTACCTCAAAATACCCGGATTTCCTGACAAAGGGGAGAGAACAGATGACCATGACAGCGAGGATAATTATGAGGGCCACACCTGTTGGGTTGGCAATGCCTGGGATCAGACCAAAAGCACCAGGCCTCATAGTCAATAACCACTCCGTCAGGGTCCACCCATCCTCGTTGATGCCATCGTCTCCCCTGTCAGGCTCGATATAGACGGCTGATGGAAAGACAAGAGGATGAATTGAGTCACTAGTACAAAACTGGTATGGTGTACAAGAGCAAGTACAGTATATGTAAAGGTGCATATTGAAATATAAGTACAGTAAAGTACTATACTGTCTAAGTTAAGATTTAAGTACAATTAAGTTCCCAGTTCAGATATACTGTACAGCATATACACAAGCATAAGTAAATACTGTACAGTACACCTGACCCTTGCTTTATGCCCACCTGCTATATGCAAATTCACAATTATGCGAGGACCCTACTTCTACACACAATTCACTTAATGAAAAAAAAAATACTATTATGCTTTCAGTGCAAGATATAGGGAGGGGAAAAACTGGGAATGAGGTTGCTGGTGAGATGGCATATTGCCATTTTTCTTATTTTATAGTTTTATATTATATTTTCTTTATTTGTAAGACATATTAGATTATTTTTATGATTTTTCCACAACTTTTATAGCATTAATGTAGTCTTTTAGCATGTCTTTGTTATGAAAAAGGGCCAGAATTAAGGTTGGTGGGGCTCCATAAAAATAAGAATTCACTACATGCGATTTCGGGTTATGTGAGGTTTTCGCAGAACGTAACTCTAGCATACAGCGAGGGTCAAGTGCGTTTGTCGTCACAGATACATAAACACCTGCCAATAGTTCACACAGAAATATATACATGTACTGTACTGTATATGTCTCCCCTAATTTGATATAGTTTTTAGTTCATCACACAATGGAATTTTAGTGTGCATTGTAATGGAAATTAATCAACCAACTTTGACAAATGTCTAAGTTTGTTAATATTTTACAGGAACAGAAAAATGGAGATGAATTTATTAGGGACGCAATCCAGATATCTTTATCAGTATCGGATGGACAAAGAATGTTATAGTACATACCATTCTTGACTCTTAACTGTTGTATAAATGTTATTTCCACAGATATAAAACCCATTCTTTCGTTCCTTGTGTTTTTTTCATTTCTAAAGCGATACAATGTTGATATTAAAGTTCTTATTGTCGATTGTTAATATTCTTATTGACGAAAACACAAATGCCAATTACATAGGTTCTCTGGATTACGCAATTGCACAACTTACCGAAATTGATTAGGTGCATGAGGGTGTGGAGGAGGGAGAAAAGGAAGATGAGCAAGCCACACAGCTTATGGAGGTAGAGGTGCTGGTCGAGGGGCAGGAAGCAAGAGGCGCCCATAGATCGGAGGAAAGTAATACACTGCCGTAACATCAACACCAACACGAACATGCAGTTGAAGTTGAGACACTGACCTGCAGGGAGAGATAAGGCATAGGCTGTTGTTCCAGTGGTGGAGTTATATAATGTTGAGACCAATAATTTTGTATATGGTTCATTATTATTATCAGTAGTATTATTTTTAATATTATTATTATTAATATTATTATTATTATTATTGTTGATCTTTTTTTTTATTATTATTACTGTACTATATAATTCACAGTTTATTCCAGCTAATGTGAAGTTTGTGGAGTAAAACCATAGCAGAATATCAGCGTCCTAATATCTCACTGTAATTACCAGGATGAGTAAACCTGAGGCACATCCTTACCACAGCCTCGGGCTACAATGGTGAGGCCATTACTGTTCCAGTAGTCGACGACTCGGGATATGAAAAGTCCCACGTTGATAGCTATATAGATGAGGAGGAAGATGAGGTACACGTAGTTGTTCTTCAGGTATGGGAGTGACATCTGGTAAGGTCGCAGCTTCGACACTTTCTGCAAGAAGGTGTCCTTATCGTTCCGCAGGTTGGGAGGCACCAGCCAGCGGTCAATACTGGAGGAAGAGGAAGTGTTTAGCTTTGTGATCATGAAGTATAATGGTTCCATATAGTGTGTAGAAATGTAAGAATAATATGGGTGAGTGAGTAGGTGCCGACGTATCTTACATGGGTTTCTGGACTATCGGGTTCTCGAGGACGTACCTGATGGAGAGGTTCTCGAGTAGGCCATCGTGTTTCTCCAACTGAGCCTTGAGTGACTCGTATGTAATGGCGCCGGTGTTCTGGGTGTCAGCATCCTCGAACATGGCGAGGGTAAGATCCTCAATCTGCTCATCGCTGAACTTCATGCCATTCTCTTCCATACACGCCTTCATCACCTTCTGCAGCTCACTCTGCTGGATCAGCCCGTCACCTACCGAGTACCACCAACACTTGAGACCACATCATACGGTAGTTCCAGTAGTTACATGAACAGGTTACAAGAAAAATGTGTTTGTGGTACATTAGTTTAAGTGTATTGTGTATGATGTATGTCCTCTAATTTGTGTGTTTCATACGCAAAAGGACTCCAAGAATATCTTAAGAGTACATATAGAAGCAATATTGCTATACATTACCTTGAATAATACAGTATTAGAGAGAAAAGAGTGCACTCTGCTGGAACTTTTGAAGTGCTCCAATTATTGCTCAGTTACTATAGAACTATTTTAAAGTTCCAGTCATGTTTTACTCTCGAGTCTTACCATCCAGATCGTAGACCTTGAAGAGGAACTTGATCTTGTCATTGGGGGACTTCCCAGCAAACTGGTGCATGGCATCCAGGAACTCTGAGAGTGACACTGACCCGCTGTTGTCCCGGTCGAAGATCTGGAACACCCGCTCCGCAAAGAACGACTGAAAACAACAATCAAAACATTAGGAAATATCATTCACACAGTCGGTTTCAAAATTAACACAGTAAATCAATCCATGTATGTAAAATATACAGAATTTTGATGCACTGTCATGTCTAAAGTAACTCTCTGGAAGCTGCATCTGACCTGAGGAGGAAGACACACGGTGGCTACTCACGTTCCGGGAGTGTACGATCTTCTTGAAGTCATCGAAAGAGAGTTCCTGCTTGTGTCCCAGCGCCTGGCGGAAGAGCTGCTCCAGCCACTCCAAGTTCTCCCGCGTGAACCCTGTCCGTGGACTGCGGGAAGGCAGAGTAATGTTAGTTATACATCTGTTATACACTATTGGGTCCATAATGTGAACAGGTTCTTCTGATGTAAAGGTATATCAACAAACAATTGTGGGCTGTATGGAGGAGAGATTCACTATAAGTAATGTGAGTACTGTATATGTATGATCTATTGGCTTTCTACAGGATGTTACTAATGTCTGAGTGGGACAAGATCATATGAGGGACTGACATTAACCATAGGGATAACATAGCCTTAGTTGCTGAAGTCACAGGTGAAATTTAAGTACAGAGTATCATATCCCTGAGAGTCCGTAAGTTGTTGAGGTGCACCAATAGATAATAAAAAAAAAGCATTCCTGAGTGACTAACGAAGATACTGTCACTGGCCGGAATGGGTGCTGCAGTTGTGGTAGTGACTCGGGGATATGATACCATGTTGTCTCACTGGTGCTGAAAAACGTCTCTGTCTTGACAATGGAAATCGATATAAAGGTTTAAACACCAAGGGGAAAAAAAATTAAACATTGAAAATGTAAAGAAGCAATTAACAATACCGAAAGAAAGCTAGAATTACTAATTACTAAGCGGACATCTCTCAGGTTGACGGTACTCTGTATAATCAAACAGTAGAGGCGGAAGTAGCGTGGCACCCTGATAACTGCTACCAGGTGTGAGGACCCGGATAGGAACACCCTGATCAGTAGCCCACATCCCCCCCCACCCCACATACATCTGACTCACCTCCCATTGTCTGTGTGTTGTTGTTATAATGCCATCTGTATACCTGAACTTGTATATGTGGCTGTATCTGTACTTGTAACTGTATCTGCCCAAAACCATCATGTTCATTTGTATCAATATCTGTACTTGTATACACTATATGACTCTTGAAATATGTTTAGTTAATCTTGCAATGGTAATTATGCACCACATGATTTTATAATGGATTTCTTTGGTGTTCTTGTTTTTAATTTAGGATGTGTTGACGTAGTTAAAAACATAAATTTCCAATTCTCAGAGAAATGTTTTTTTTTTACAGACAGACCGAGAAACTTACAGGTAAACAGATGTACAGAAACAGACACATACTAACACAGATACGGACAATCTTCGAGGCTCTCCCCCCCCTCCCCCTCCACCCACTCACCAGGATGAGAGGTTCTGCATGCAACAGGGGCAGGAGTCGAGCACCACGTTGACCACCTTAGACCCACAACACAAACACTCCGTCAGTCCGGCTGCTTTTTTCTGGCCATTTTCAGAATGTGTGGCCATTTGCATTTCAGTCTTTTCATATACAGTGGCCAAATGTTTAAGGTCATTACTCGATATTCTGGCCATCTGCCTCTGGACATCTTCTGAAACCATGGCCGTCTGTTTCTGGCCATTTTCTGAAACCGTGGTCGTCTGGTTTTCAATATCCTCACACATAGTGCCTCAAGGATTCAATTCCTTTTGATTCACTTCACTTTGACCTAAAACCTTTCCTTCTTCTTCTGGTTTACATTACCGTAAAACGAACCTTTAAACAACAGCAAAGAAAAAAAAAATAATCACGAAGAGAGACAATGAAACAAAAAAACTAAAAAAAAAAGAATAAATTAAAAATAAGTGCGGATATTGTCGTCGGCGTAGAAGTTGCCACCAGAGTATGAAAGTCGGGTGAGACGGAGTGACACCAGAGTCCTCCTACACCGCTTTATAACCCTAGCACAGGCAAGTTTCTGACGTACACCAGAGTCCTCCTACACCGCTTTATAACCCTAGCACAGGCAAGTTTCTGACGTACACCAGAGTCCTCCTACACCGCTTTATAACCCTAGCACAGGCAAGTTTCTGACGTACACCAGAGTCCTCCTACACCGCTTTATAACCCTAGCACAGGCAAGTTTCTGACGTACACCAGAGTCCTCCTACACCGCTTTATAACCCTAGCACAGGCAAGTTTCTGTGACGTACACCAGAGTCCTCCTACACCGCTTTATAACCCTAGCACAGGCAAGTTTCTGTGACGTACACCAGAGTCCTCCTACACCGCTTTATAACCCTAGCACAGGCAAGTTTCTGTGACGTATAGAGATAACATGAAGGCAGGATGGGGTGGAGGGGAAATAACTTACTGTCTGTCTGATAAAACACTGGATTAACAAACAAATAAATTATCCCCGCGTGGGTTTATGTGATATAAACACCGTGGGCGTTGATTACATTACAGGTAAGGAACACTTTTTTGACCCCGCTTCCCACATTTCCTCTATTTCATGTAAAAACCTTTGACTGTACTTACAAAAATTCATACATAACATCATACAAAATTTTAGTATGAAATAGTTAAAATTATGCATATATTTCAACAGCATTAGTGAACTATCAACAAGGGTTAAGTGCCTCGGATACTGTTAAGAGGTACAGTGCAATAATTTTAGATTTTTCTTAAATTCGATCAACAAACACGAAACAAAAAAAATGGCAAAACATCAAGGGAGTATCATCCTACACCAGCGATGATCACATGTAAAAAAAACAAAACAAAAATATTGTAGATTTCATTTCATTTTACAACCAACCACAAATCAAGATACCAAGACTGGAAGATAAATAAATGACAAAAACAGCACACATAGGTAGCCAGGAGGAAAGGCATTGCTGTGTCTCCCTCACCAGGTCCTCGATGCTGCCCCTCCCACTTGTGAGTAACGGTAACTCCTGTGTTTGTGTACTACCATTTGATTGGCTGAGAGCTTACGACAGATTAAATAAAGAAAAGATCAACAAGATATAATTAATTTAGATACAAAAGGTAGATGGACTCACAGACTTCCGAAGTGACAAGTTTTGCTCAGTAATGTTGACAATTCATGAAGTAGTACATGATATCTTATACTGTCATTTATATCCGGGTTGAGATACGGCGTGATTAATCCCTGTGTCATTAGTCTGATACAAGGACCAGGCACAGGTGAGCAACAAGGAACTCACATACCAGGTACAGGTACTAGAGATAAAGATTAGACGGATATACTCATAGGCTACGCGTGTTATACCCAAATTTGAGTACCAGAAATTCAAAAAGGGATAAAGATGAGTAAAAAGTGGGTAAGAATGATGGGTAATGAGTAAAAAATGGGTAAGAATGATGGGTAATGAGTAAGGGGTGCAGAAGGCGTGACTCACCGGGCGTAGGTTAGGTTGGCGATAAAGTCCATTATCTCCTGACGGCTCACGAGTCCATCACAGTCCTTGTTGATGAGACGGAAGAGCTTCTCTAACACCTGGCAGGAGGGAGGAAGGAAGGAGAAGGGATAGGAGTGAGGGAATGAAGGGGCAGGAGAAGGGAAGGAAGGAATGAGAAAAGAAGGACGGAAGAGAGAGTAAAAAAATAAACATTAGTTACAAAAAAATATTATTAATCATTTTGTCAACATTAAGTATTAGTTAACACACACACACACACACACACACACACACACACATTCTTTATCTGTAGGAGGAAAAACTTACCCAGTGGAAGATAATAATGATAAGAATATATAATGAACCCGTGCAGCATCTACCCCCTCCTGTAGGTGAGGATAGTGAAGGCAATGAGATGATGATGATTTACCTCCCTCTCCCCTCCCACCGATGCATGAGGATAGTGAGGACTTACCCCCCTGGAGGTGAGGATGGTAGTGAATAGGTCCTCGGTGACTTCGCCGTCCTCGCCACACACCACGTAGGCGAGCACCTCCAACAGCTCAGCCCACTCCCTCGCCCCGACCTCCCTGTGAAGAAACAAACATCCAAACATTAGTATCACTGTCAACAAACACAAAACAAAACACTGTCAACAATCACGAGATAAAACATCCAAACATTAGCATCACTGTTAACAATCATCACCCACAACACACAATAAATGTTTATAAAAATAATTAGGTACTATACAAAGTCACCAGATCCACTCCACGCCGACCCTACTGTAAACAATGCTTCATGGTCTGTCGAGGCAGCTCCCAGACCGCATCTTCCAGGGTAATCTTATTGTATTGGATCTGACAGGCGAGGCGGTGAAAAAATTCATGAATTAATCTCACGTAAATTATTTTTACGACCCCATTAAGATGATGCGGTGATAAGAAACGATGTTTTTTAACTTGGTTTTGCACTTTCTACTAACACCACAAGTTATGTATGCTATGGTTCGCTGTGAGTATCGTAACTGTGGTATTTTTATGTACGGTCCCTGTAGTGCATTTTGCTTCCCACATTTCGCCCAAGGTGCGTTTGTGCCTTTAATGACGATCGGAGTGGTTTTAGGCATGTAGTACTACGAACCTAAATTTTTTTAAACTTGTAAACACGAAGGTAAACATTGGTGAAACTTGTGATGACCATAGCCAGGCATGTCCACAAATGAGGTCAACTATCCCAAGCTACTGTTACATCAAAATACGACTTACTTGTCCCCTCCTCCAAAGTCAACACGAAAACGAGGTCCAACTTAGTCCTCCCCTCTCACACGTCCAATGAACCAAGACGTGATCTGTGGCGTGACTGGGGCGTGAATGGAACAGACTGTGTATCGTGACTGAGGTTTGGGGAGGAGGTCACTCATATTGGGGAAAGTACGTAAGGTAATTATAGGGTCCTTGGCTACCACGTACACGATTCCCAATGACTTTCCTTCCCTTTAACTGAATGACGTGAAGAACACCTCTGACTGCCTGTCATATTACACATTAACGATTGAGGCTAAAATGACGATAGAAATTGCTTACTGAGGCGCCATTGAAACGAGATAATGTTTCTTTAGTCAATGTTTGAGGGATGGAAATTATCGTGTGGATCTCTGAGAATCCAACTCATGAAGGTAATTCCTTGCCGCTCCCCTGAACACGAGGAGATGAGGTGGAGGAAGGGGTAGTGGAGGGGTGGGTGGTGAAGGGGTGGGTAGATAGGGAGGGTGGGTGGAAGGGGTGGGGAGTGGGTGGGTGGAGGGGTGGGTGGGGGAGGGGTAGTGGGAGGGTGGGTGGTGGGTGGGGTAGTGGAGGGTGGGTGGGAGGGTGGGTGGGTGAAGGGGTGGATGGTGAAGGATGGTGAAGGTGGGATGGGGAGGGGTGGATGGTGGAGGGGTGGATGGTGGAGGGGTGGGTGGTGGAGAGGGGTGGAAGGGGGTGGTGTGAAGGGGGTAGTGGAGGGGTGGGTGGTGGAGGGGTAGTGGAGGGGTGGGGTGGTGAAGGAGGTGGAGGGGTGGGGTGGTGAAGGGGTAGGGAAGGGTGGGTGGTGGAGGGGTAGTGGAGGGTGGGTGGTGAAGGGGTAGTGGAGGGTGGTGGAGGGGTGGGTGGTGGAGGGTGGGGTGGTGGAGGGGTGGATGGTGGGGTAATAATGGCCTGTGATGGACACAAATCTAGAGCAACGTACACACCCCATCTGTTTTCTGAGGAGGTGAGTTAAGAGAAGCGTTCACGAGGCAGCAGCAGCAACAACACACAGGACCCACAAAACAAGTAACTAAGCCGGGTCTTCCTCCGTCAGTAGAACACCACACCACCACCACCGTCCAAGACTCACATCCACCCCAGCCCCACACACACACCACCACAAGGTTCTAGTCTCTATTATATAATCATCTGTAGGAATTAACTTAAAACACCCGCCATACAGTTGTCAGGCAGCTGTACACAACAAACATTACCACGAGGGGAAATTACACAGTTCGTTAACCGCTTGTCAGTCCACGAGTCTGACTTCTCCTCTACGTGTTCATTTATACGCCGGAAGCCCAGCCATTGTGGCGTCATACACAGACAAATACGTCAGTGAAAGACGCCCCTCAATTACTACCTGGAGGCACAGTAAGCATATTAGCCGTAAGTTGATATACCTGAATTACGAGAGGGAGGGAGGAGGGTGAAGGGGGGTCGTCTACCAATACCACCCTAACATCAGGTAAGAGAGCAAATACGACCCCAGCTGCCGTATAAAAACTAGGTGATAACTGACGTATTTTACAGATATACAATAACTTAGAAATGACAGTAAAAAAATAAAACCACCACGTGAAATTAAAACAAGACACAATAACATTAGACAAGTCCTACAACATACGGTAGTCTAAACATTCCAAGCGGTAGTGAGTCTTCAAATCAAAACACACTGGCGGAGCGCAACCAACACACCCTGATTGACATTGTGAAAGGCCAATGTGGACAAAAGACGGACCACAAGACACCAGCTAATGACATATAGTGAATGAAGGGGGGCGGCACTGGCTCTATCCACCACACAGCCCTCATGTTCGTGCTGGCTGGCCCTTGAGCGATGGTTAGCCAGGCGAAGGAGGGGAGGGGAGAGGATTGTGTTCGAGGAGTGGGAGGTAGGGGAAGGGGTAAAGGGAGGAGGGAGGGGAAGGGGTTGTTTATGGTGACGTGAGAAAAAAGAAGAGAGTCACTGTTTATAATAATGATGCGGGCGGCCATCTTGCATCTCTCTGAAAGGATTTGCATAAGAAGGAATTCCCGGTGATTTAATTCTTAGCTTATATAAGGGAATTTAAATCTACCTATCCCTCTCTCATCTTCCCTTCGTGTGCGTGCGTGCGTGCGTGGTGCGTGCGTTGACCACCGTGCTAGTACACCATGACCATATTTCTGCCATTAGTCCACGCCAACGATGTTCACCATGGATCTCTCTCTCTCTCTCTCTCTCTCACACATTCCGCCTCCATAGTAACCGAGTGCTTTGGTGTGTGTGTGTGTGTGTGTGTGTGAATCAGTCAGTCACGGTACACAAGTGATGAATGACACACCTACCTCTCGAGCCATTTAACTCTACCTGTATTTTTGCATCACCGGTAGTAGTAGTAGCAGTACCGTAGTAGTAGTAGTACCGGTAGTATAGTAGTACTAGTAGTAGTAGTACCGGTAGTAGTAGTAGTAGTACCGGTAGTAGTAGTAGTACCAGTAGTAGTAGTAGTACCAGTAGTAGTAGTACCGGTAGTAGTAGTAGTACTTAGTAGTATACCGTAGTAATAGTGTAGTAGTAGTAGTACCGGTAGTAGTAGAAGTACCGGTAGTAGTAGTAGTACCAGTAGTAGTAGTAGTAGTAGTAGATAATAGTTTTTCATTATTATTTACATATTCTAACATATACGTCTCGCAAGATTGAAGTGGTACTCAGTTACACTCGAGACACATAAACGAGACCACGAGATACAAGGCCAGGAGACACGAGGCCATGAGACACAAACGAGACACAACACCACGAGACCATTACGAGAGACCCCAAGTTGCTACGGTACCCAACAGACTGGCACTGATAAGGGAGGTCACTTTGTGGTCTTGGGGTAGCAAAGGTCAACCTCTCTCGTCTACTCTATTACCATTCATTAGGCTCTATGTTATTAATTAAAAGTTACAGGTGTGCTTACAGGTATGATACAGGAGGAGGTACAGGTGCTAATACAGATGCAGAAATGGACACACACACACACACACACACACACACACACACACACACACACACACACACACACACACACACACACACACACACACACACACACACACACACACACACACACACACACACACACACACACACACACACACACACACACACACACACACACACACACACACACACACACACACACACACACACACACACACACACACACACACACACACACACACACACACACACACACACACACACACACACACACACACACACACACACACACACACACACACACACACACACACACACACACACACACACACACACACACACACACACACACACACACACACACACACACACACACACACACACACACACACACACACACACACACACACACACACACACACATCATCAAACTCGGTTATAATATACAAGTAGTTAGTGGGGTAACCGCAGCGACCCAGCTAATGGCAGCCCGTCTCGCTTTCTCCACCATCCGTCAACGGCGTCAAACCTTCCCTGTCAATGGTGTCAATCTGTCATCTCACGCCATACCTTTATACCTGGCAGGTAAGAACCAAGGTGGGAGTGCGGTGTGAGTATTACATGTTTATACTAATTTCTCTTTTGTTTTGATTTTGTTTTCGCTCGTTAAAGAAAATGGGAGAGTGGTTGCCAACTTGCCATCAGCCCAGACGTTTGTTGTTGTTTTTGTCATTGTGCTGTTGTTTTTTCGTTGTTTTGTAGTTGTTGTTGGCATTATTGTTATTCTTGCTTATGTTTTTTTGTTGTTGTTTGTTCTTATTATTGTTGTTGTTGTTTCTGTTGTTTTTTAATGTTACTATTGTTAAAATTATTGCATAAAAAGACTTGAAAAAAAATATCATCCCCCCATGCTCGTAACAATCACTTCCATCAGTTAGGTCAGGAAGGCATACACACTGCACTAACTAAACACAAGCAAATGTTATCTTCAAGGTCAGGATTGTTAGGAGAAAGTACCCTGAGGTCAAATTATGTCACCTGTAGCTGTCATGTCACGTACCTACCGTCAACTCCTATCAATAGAGCTGTCATGTCACGTAACTACCGTCAACTCCTGTCAATAGTCTTCCGTCTATTGTCTATTCCCCCTCAACTATCTACACCAATAAATCCGGATTCATCATCGCTTCATATTAAGATTCATTCTACGATACGAACTCTAGGTATAAACATCAAGAAATCCAACGACACGGTAAAACAGATCGACTCTACGACTGCTGATGGCGAATAACACACAGGTAACAATGCCAACGTACAACACTAATTACTA